AGTGTTATAAATAGCCAAACCTGAGCATTGACTAAAAACTCGCCATAGAGCTTATTCTCTCCGGTACTAGGGTTCCTGGTGAAGAGAACACCAGTCCCTGAAGTGTCCCCCATGTTTCCAAACACCATACACTGAATGTTAACCGCGGTTCCTATCAACCCGTTTATCTGGTTAATGCTTCTGTACTTAATCGCTCTCGGGCTATCCCAAGAATCGAATACCGCTTCAATCGCTAACTCCAATTGCTTTTTCGGATCTACAATTAACCCATCAAAAGATTATGAAACTAAAAATTGAATGTTAATACTCAAACTCAGATAGAGAAATAGGAATCAAAATCAAACCTGAAGGAAACTCTTGACCCTTGACTTGTAAGTAAACACTCTTGTACTGCTCAACCAATTCTTTGAGATCGGTCGCGCTTAATTCAGTGTCGTTTTTAACTCCTTTTAGTTCTTTCATTCTCTCTAGCTTCTCTTCAAACTTCGCATGTGGAATCCCCAACACCTTTTATTGATCAAGAAAGCATTGAAAAGTTAGCCAGAGAGATTTCTTGTGGTACAAGTTAACCTAAATTGTTATAGAACAGAGGACTTACAACATCACCAAACATATCAAGAAAACGCCGGAAAGAATCGTAAGCGAAACGCTCTCCGCTTTTGGCGGCCAAACCGACCACAACTTCGTCGTTTAAGCCAAGGTTAAGTACAGTGTCCATCATACCTGGCATTGAAACCTAACAATACAAAGATCGATCAAAGATAAGTCAATGTTCTATAACTTTCTTTTTAAGTACATTCATAACCCAAAAACTATACTAATTCAAGTGTCGAGTAAATATATTACTAAAATTTCAATATAGTGAAATAGAGAGAATTTTTCAAATATACCACTGTTCATATGTTTTTATAATAAAAAAAAAATTATATACAGAGTTCTAATTTTTTTCCTATAAAAAAGTATTCTAAACATTCAAATTTCTTAGGGAATTTTTTTCCTAATAAATTTGGTTAAATTTTTTCTATTAAAAGGGATTTTCTACGGCTATATTTTTCTTTTTACAAAATTGTGTTAATAATATAACTAATTATATAAATAGTTACTTACGGCGGCGCCGGAGCGAACGGAGAGGAGGAGTGGCTTGGAAGGATCGGCGAGGGAAGCTCCAATGTCACGTTCAATGAAGCTAAGACCTTCTAAAATCTCTTCCCATAAACCTTCTGGAAGCTTCTTACCGGCGACTTGATATTGCCGACAAGCCTCCGTCGATATGGTTAATCCCGGCGGCACCGACAAGCCTATGCTCGCCATCTCCGCAAGATTTGCTCCTTTACCTCCCAACTTTGTACCAAAATTAATATAAACAATTTTGATTACAAAATGTTTGATAAGAAATAGAAAATATTTGATTTTGATATATGATAAAATGGTTACATACCAAGGACTTCATGCCCTTGTTGCCTTCGCTTCTTCCTTTACCAAAGGTGAACACTCGCTGCATCATGTTTTTGTTTTTTTGGTTTTGGGATTGAGTTTAGATTTGCAGAAATGTTTGTGCAAGTTAAAGAAGAAGAAGGCAATATTGAAGTACTATTTATATACTAAACAAAAAAGAAGAAGGTTGGATGAAATAGATAACTTAAAATTGTTCAATTCTATCCAACTTAAATTTGGACATGTCTATTTATTTATCAAACTAAATTTAATTTTTTT